CACCTGCTCCCTTTTGCTGGGCCCGCTCTGTTCAGTGTCGCCTTAGTGGGACCTTCTTGGCTCTTCACACAAGGGGTGCATCCCCAAACAGAGGCAATTTCCAAGCAGGGCACTTCATCACCGGGTGGGAGCAGACGCTGCAGGAGGTGTGGCACCCCCCCCCCACGGCCGACCACTTCCCGTCCAGGGTAGCAGTCGCCAACTGCGTCCTCCTGGCCAGGAGGACTCGGAGGCCTGGCCAAGTCCTCTGCTCACTGCTCCCTCCCCTCCAGAGCCCAACCTGCGGTGCACAGGCCTGGAGGAGCCCTGCCTTGCTCTCTTGCCTGCCGCCCACAGCAGGGTCCCAATATGGGGACCTCGCACAGTCCTGCCACTGGGTGGGGACTCCGGGGCTCACCCTGGACAGCTGGCAGAGAGGATGCAGGGACGAGGCGCCGGACACCAAGCCATACTGCACACCCTGCCGTGGTCCCGCCCAGTGCCGGAGCCTTCCAAGGAGCCCACGCTCTCCTGCCGGCCCCTGCCACTAGGCTGGGCACAAATGCGGCCCAAGCGCTTTGTCTGTGGCAGGTTCAAGAGGAGATGCCTACAGGACCCATGAGGAGACTGAGGCAGGCCACACCCTGCTCTGAAAGCTTGGGGCTGGCTGGGCAGGAGGGATGCAGGGACAGCCCCTCCGGGACCCACAGCCCGGGGTCCTAGGGACCCAGGCGAGGCCACCCTGGTGGTTCCTGTTGGAATTCAAATGCAGGCAGCTTTATGACTTTGCCTGCTGCTGAGAGCTGGAGAACTTCCTGACTCACTGTTTTACCTGGACACAAAAGAGCCTGTTCGAGAGGGGAATGCACGGCCCAAGGCGCTCTGACTCCCCACACCCCAGGTATGGGGCAGCCTGAGGGCCAGCGGGACAGAGAGGAGTCCGTGCCCACAGGGAACAGAGTCAGGTTGGGTTCCAGGCACCACTGTTCTGACAACACGACACTGCACAGCAGCCATGACTGCAGCTCGGTCCCTTGCACTTCCCGCCGGTGTACTCAGTCCCCTACCCACGTTGACATCTTGGATCCTGACACTGCACAGGGAGGATGGAGCAGAGATGTCCCCTTCCCGCTCATCAACTCAGCATAGCTCATCTAGGTGAGAAAAAATTCCTCTGGAGGTTACTTTAAAACCAGCCACTTTCCTGCCTATCACCCCAGCCCTCCAGGAGGCTGAGGCAGGAGGGTCACAATTTTGAGCCCAGCTTGGGCAACTCAGCAATCTAGTGAGACCCTGTCTCAAAATTAAAAAAAAAAAAAGTTGTGGAGATGTAGGTCAGTGAAAGGGCCAGGGGTTCAATCCCCAGCCTTCCCCATCCCCAAAGAGCAAAGAAAAAGGGGAAAAATTTACTTTCCTCCAAAGACTGAAGGCAGCAGTATCATGTGGTCCAACAACCCTGTTTCCAGTTTCCTTGGGAAAAGGGAGCAGAATGTGGAATACACAGGCACGGGCACTGTCCCCGGGATGGGACGGAGAGGTGGGAACATCCTAAGCACTGGTCCCAGGCAAGGGAACAGAGAGGATGTGATAGCTGGAGGTGCCAAAGCCTCCGGGAGGAATCCGCACCACATCTCAGAGACAGAGGCCGGTGGGAAAGGCTGAGGGCTGGGAGGAGGCTGGGGAGGAGCTGTGTTGTTTACGACAGACACATTTGCCTGAATTAAACCCTACAGTGTATTCCTGTCTCCAACACCAGCTAAAAAACTGAAGTTAAAAAGTAACAAGCTGCACCTTCCTCCTGCGTCTCAGAGTGCTGGAGACTCTGCTTCTGGGGGGCAGCGTGATGAGACACCTGCTGACCCGGGGACACCACATCCTCTGGCCGGATTGGGCCCAAATGCTGCAGTGAGCCTGGGCTTCACCAGGTCTATCTTGGAGCAGGGACACGGCACTAAGTCCTTCTCCCTGTGGGGCCGGGGATGAAGCCCAGGGCCTAGTGGGGCCAGGCAGCTGCTTCTTCTTCCCCTGAGCTACACCAAGCGCACTGAGCACTTTTTAAATAACCCCAGGCCCTGACGAGGGCCTCTGGAGGTGCCATCGGAACTGCCTGGCACGAACGTCCCCAGAGCTCTCCTGTGTTCTGTATCCATCCCCATCATTTGTGGAAGGCGAGTCCCTTCCACACGCAGCTGTTGTGACACTGGAGTCTTCTCCGGTTTCAGAGACTGGGAAGTAGTCGCTCCCTCCACCACATCCAGAGCCACTTGCAGGCCACAGTGACTCAGGCAGCCACATTTGGTGGCTCTGGTGCTAAGGCCACTGCCTTGTCCAGGACACCAGACCTCAACGGCTGCCCAGCTGTGCTTGCTGGGATTTCCCCTTCATCCCAGGGGCGACCCTCAGGGACACTTGGCTGGCAGAGGGGCCCCTCCCATAGGCGCTTGCCTATGCCCGGTGACAACTCACCTGGTGATGGCCTGGTCCTCTGGCCCTCGCTGTGCTCCCTTCTCCTGCCCTGTTACCTGGACCATCTTGTCCTGCCCAGATGCCCTGCTCAGGGACCCAGGTGCCAGGTGTGGCCCTCAGCACGTGGACCTAGCCTCCCCGTGAAGGCAGGTGCCCTGCACCTCCCGGGGCGCGAGGATGAAGCCAGTGTGTGAGCAGCCATGTGCCAGGAGATACAGTGGGGAATGGGAGCCTCTGCCTCCCCCAGGTCACTGCTTAGGCACAAGGTGACTGTCAAGCAGCTGCCACACAGCCTGTCACACACTGAGCACTCAGCAAGGGCCAGCTGTGATCATGAAGTTCACCCTGGATGAGGGAAGGATGCTGGTGCTCAAGGAGGCTCTGGAGGAGGCGGGCAGAGGTGTGGGAGGAAAACCTGCAGGAGGCCGGGCACAGAGCCTGGGGCTCTGGGGCAGGACAAAGTCCCTGGGGCCAAGATGGGCTTTTTAATACCTGAGACAAGGGGGTCTCTCTGGAAGGAGACCAGTGTCATTGAGCACAAGAAGGCCAGCCAGGCCACATGATCTCTTAGAGAGATCTTGTTTAGAAAACTGAACTTTCTAGGTTCACGCTTCAGTGCCAAAAAAGACAGGGTCTCCCTAAGTCACTAAGGTGCCAGGCTGGGCTCAGCCTTGTGATCCTCCTGCCTCAGCCTCTGGAGCGCTGGGGTTCTGGGTGTGCACCCCACGTCCGGCTGACAGTTGGTCCTATGTGTCACCTTGGCTATGCTCCAGGACCCCACTATTCCATGGAACATGACTCTGGGAGCTGCTGTGGAGCTATCTGGAGATGGGGGAAACCACAGCCAGGAGACCTGAAGGAAGGGGTCTGCCCTGACAATGAGTCCCCAGCCCGCTGGCCTTTCCTGTCGTGACACACACAGCCCTCGCCACCGTGGGACCAATTCCTGAAGCGAATGTTATGCCTCTACCATCCCGGGCACCGAGGTTGGAGACACGAACCCTTATTCCGGTGCAGGCCAAATCCCAGTGTGTGTATAAGCACACATCCACATCTTCACTCCTAAGTTCCCTTTGATCACAGAAGCAACCGGGCCCCAGGAGAAACAGCTGGCTGAGGTCTATGACAGGAAGTATGCGAGAGAGGGCTGGGCCATCTCAGGTGCCCGAAAGAACGGGTTCAAACCAGACTGGGTACATGGCGAGGACACGGCGCAGTATGGGCAGAGCGGGATCAAGTGCGGCCGAGACATCTCTTGTGTCAGGGCCACCTGCCTGGCGCTTGCAGAGCCGCCCACAGCTCAGCTCCCTCTGCCGTACAAGCAGCCGACTCTCGGGCCCAGGATGGGACATGGCACCTCTGGGGCTGCAGGGCCGGCGGGCTGACTTGCTGGCTGCCCTGGGGCCTGGCACTGCTTGGCATCTGAGTTTTAATTTTTTCTCTAGTTGGACTGTTCCTAGTGGCTCTCCTGTGGGGTCACTCTGAGCTGGAGCAGAGGGCATGCAGCCGGGGTCTGAGGTCTCAACTGCAGCGCTGCACCCGGGCAGTGCCGCGCCTGCCTGACTTCATCCCAAGACAGAGATTAACGTCCACAGCTGTGCCCTGAGCAGACCCCCGAGATGAGCAAGACGGCTGGGTGGGGATGGAAAGCCGGTGGACAAGCACCCACCTGCTCAAGGAGAGAGGGGCCACTGCAGAGGCCAGGCTCCGAAGGCAGGGAGAGGCCTGAACCCAGGCTCAAGGGTGCCACGTGGCCTCGCCTCCCAGGTTCCACACAGGGGAGACTCTGTGCACTCAGCCTGCGCCCTGTGGGGAGGGGCATTCACCCCACAGAGCTTGCCCAGTGCCTGCCAGGAGCCTGGTGAGTCCTGGATCCCAGGGAGACATTAAGCCAAGTGCACCCTTTGTGTGTGACACTGGCCCTGCTTCCCCTTGGCTTCCCTCCTCGCTCTGGTTCCCATGGCCATCCCCAGGGCCTCCTGTCCTCTCACCTGGGGTCCCAGGACTGTGTACCTGTTGTGTGTTGTGCACCGTGGCCCCACACACAGACCCTGCCCGGGACCCTGCCTACCGGGTCTCCACACTGATCCAGAAAGTAATCTAGGAGGTGGAGGAGCCTGGCCCAGCTGGGAGGATCTTCTTGCTGGTCAAGGTTGCCTGGCCCTGGAGACAGCAGGGAACCCTGCAAGTGGAGGACAGGCAGGAGGGCCTGCCATGGTGGTCAGGGCTTAGTTGGGGCCTCAGCCACCCCTCCAGGAACATCCTGGCCTGCAGCTCTGAGCCCTACAGGAACCCTCAGACTTGGCCTGGCCACAGGAACCTTTCTGTCTTGAGACGTGGCCATGTGGCCCTGGCTGGAATGGGCTCAACTGTCCCCAGACACCTGCACTGGGATGGTCCTGGGTGTTCCCAGCCTAATCTGATGCCCTCTTTCTTGCTGTCCCAGGACCCCCAGGCCACCTGTGCTGTCATCCAGAACATGCTCACTCACCATCACAGCACCCTGGTGGCCATAACCCCAGCCACATTCCACCCCCCAGGCATTCAGGACTCACCCGAAGGTCTTGCCCCAGTCGCACCACAGGGTCCTCCCCATGGCCTCCATGTCCTCCTGGAAGCGGGTGAGGCAGGTCTCCTGGATGCGGGCACCATAGTGGGCGTCCTGGCAGGCAGTGACCAGGAAGAGCTGATGGGCTGAAACAGAGGGTACCAGGGTGTCACCTGCCTGCTCCCTACCTCCTGAGGCCCATGCCCATTCCGCCCACCCTGGAGCCATCTATGAGCACCATGAGGACAGGGCCTTGAAGTGGTCCTCAGCAGGCTCTGCAAAGGCCCTGCCAGGATGTCCTGGTTGCACTTCTGCTACTGGTGACAACCTGAAACTGCCATGATGGCCACAGGTGCTGGCAGCTCCACACCAGGCCCTGGCTGTTCTCCCCTTTCAGACGTGGGGACCATGGCAGGGAGAAAAACTTGCTGGGACCCAGCCCAGGGCTCAGCCTCCCCTCTACAAGGCCACCAAGAGCCATCCCCGTCCAGGCAGCAATGCAGGAGGGGGTCTTAGGCTGGGTGTTTGCTGGCTACAACCCATGCCAGCAAACCAGCTGAGTTCTGCCCTCTGAGCTTGGCAAACACAAAAGGTCAGAGGATCTGTGAAGCAGTGCATTGCATGAGATCAAAATTCCCTCCAACCAGAGCTCACCACTGGCTTGGTGGACACAGTCAGCAAGAGGGCCTTTCCCTCAGCCCACGTGCCAGGATGCCCAGGCTGCACAGCCCATCTGAGGGGCAGCTGGGGTGAAGGCCTCACAGTTGCTGCTCTGAGGCTGGCTGTGCTGGGAGCTGAGCTCCTCGGGCAGCCCCACTGGAGAAGGGGCTGGAGATGTGCTGGGAACAGGCCGGGCGGCCCGGCACCTGCCACTACCCACCCTGGGATGCCGGGAGCCTTCCGCCCCAGTGCGTGTCAGGACAGGACCTCCAGTGGGCTGTGCTGCCTGCGGTGTTGAGCGTGGCTGGGTGGGGGAAAGGAAAGCATCCTGGAGCAGCCTGGGTGGACCGGCACAGCCTGGGCCTGGGCTCTGGCCCAGCAGGCAGGGCAGACACACGGCTGGGCAGAATCCACATCAGACCCAGCTGCAGCAGGAATCTCTGAGACACGGGAGTGTCCCACGAGACGGAGGCTGCTGCCCAGTGAAGGGCTGGCACCAGGAAACCCTGTGCGCTGCTCCGTCCATGGTGGATGAGCGAAATCCCGAAGGTGCCCAGGTGAGCGGAGACCACACCCTGCCCACCCTGTCCTGAGTGGGGCCAGGCTCACCTGCTGAGACTCCAGGAGGGAGGAAGGACCTTTGTGATTTACACTAATGTTAGCACCCACCTTTGTTTTAGAGGAGCCACTTTTTTCGCACATTTTATAACCTGCAGTGAAGAGGCACAGGCAGGTATCTGATTACTCATAACCAGTGTGCTGCTCCCAGAGATTTTGCTGGTGGCCGCAAGACTTAGCAAAGCTGGAGTGGACTCATGGGGCCTGAAAGTGCCCAGGGCCCCAGAGGGGCAGTGGGGGCCCAGGAGTACGGTTCTCAGCAGGGACTCCTGCAGGCCCATGGTGGTCCTGCGTGGGCACAGGGCCTCTGCCCAGCCCACGTGCTGCCCACCACGGGTGTGTGCCAGGTGTGAACCTGAGTGCAGAGCCCAGGGACTGCCCAGGGCTTCCCTGCATGTCTCCCCTCCTGCTTGCCTGTCCATGGAGTCTACAGCGTGTGCTCCATTGCCTGTGCTGTCCTCCCCCACAGTGGCCGTGCAGGAGCCCACCTCCTCCAGGAGCACAGCTGGCTCCTGCCCCAGACGCTCTGCTCTCCTTGAAGATCTTTCCCTCTGACCTCTGCAGGGTGGATGGCATGGGTCCTGCTGGGCCCAGGGTCCCTGCTCTTCCTGCCCCAACCTCTGGTTGCCCCTGGAGGCCGCTGGATTCTCCTTCCTGTAGCCCACCTCTGACCCTCCTGTCCAGCTTGCAGACAGCAAGGCCCTGGGTTCCAGCCACTGTCTCTGTGGTCCTCCTGCCCCTTCCAGGTGCCCTCTGGGCTGGCTGGGGTCCCGGGCACAGTGCTTGGACCTGTCCCATGTCCTGGTCACCCCACTCCCACAGAATGCGCTGATACTGCCCAGGCCTTCTCTGGAGCAGCCTGGCCTCCCTGACCCTGGCCTCTGCTCTCCCTGGTGACCTGGTGGCAGATCTACTGCCCATGAGGGCTCCTTCACCACCTGCTCCAGCCCTGGCTCTTCCCACGAGAACCACTCACTAAGATCCTGCTCATTGCCCATGGACCTATTCATTTTTGAACTCCATAAGCCAAGAAAAAAAATCATGTTTATGTAGGTCATAAAACAAAAACACAAATTTAACTAGAAACACACTGTCTATTAGAGAGGCAAGGAGAAAATACAGACTTCGAGAAAAAAACAGGAAGTTCCCTGGAAGTATTAAAAACTAGAATGTAGAAAATAAGACAGCAGATAAACCGATCACCCGCCAAGCTTGGACCCTGTGCCAGGGCCTACGTAGCTCCCACGTGGAAGCCTGGGGACGGCCCAGAACACATGATCTCATGCCACCTCCGTCTCACAGATCAGGAGCAGCAGGGACAGGAAGTGGCCCGTCCAAGGTCACCAGGCCCCGAGGGCAGGCATAGGACTCAAGCAAACCTTGAATCCTCCAGAGAACAGATGCCAAGCCAGGCCAAAGGATTCAGTGACTCAGCAGGACGTCCAAGAGGTGGACCCTGGAGTGTGAGACAAATACAGGACTAGACACAGCCCGCCACATCTCATCCCTGACAACCTACTCCCAACTGCAAGCAGGGGATGGCAGTTCAAACCCATCAGGGAGGACAGAAAACAAAATAGCAGCAAAGAGCAAGTGTGGTGAGGGTGCGGAGGGGCTGGAAAGCTTGTGTGCTGCTGGTGGGGTGGGGAATGGCATGGACACCGTGGGGAACTGTATGGTCGCTCCTGCAGGGAACCCCCGCACGACCCGCAATCCCACTTCCAGGCAAACACCCAGGAGGACGGGAAGCGAGGAGGACCCGAGTAGCAGCCGCACACCTACACCCACAGCAGCAGCACTCTCAGCCCAGAGGAGGAAGCGTGGCCAGGGCAGTAAACGAACATGTTCTGTCCACAGGCCGCATAGTTCCGGCGGGGACCTTCCTGTGCATGGAAGGTGACTGGATCATGGGCGCTGTGCTCACCAGAGGCTTCATCCATAGAGCAGCCTTTAGCTGAAGGCGAGGTCAGGAGGCGGGCCTGGGAGGCAGTCACTGGGGGCACGGCTGGAAGAGTGAGTTCTTGTCCTCCGCTTCCAGGCCGCCATGGGTTGAGCACCTTTTTCTCTGCCAGGCCCCTCTGCCATTCTGCTTCTGCCTTGGAGCCAGCTGACCATCAACTAAGTCTGTGAGTGAAAATAAACCGCTCCTCCTTTAAATTGTGGGTGTTTGATATTTTGTCCCAGCAACGCGAAAGAGACTAGGACAGAAATATAATTTGACCTTCAAAAGGAAGGAAATTCTGACTCATGCTACATGATTGAAATTTGAGGACATTATGCCCAGTGAAATAAACCCAGGACGAATTCTTTACGATCCCACTTGCGAGAGCTGCTGGGGTAGTTCGGATCACAGAGCTGGGACACAGGATGGGCACTGCCGGGCAGGGCAGGGTGGGAGTTTGCATGTAACAGGACAGAGCTTCAGCTCTGCAGGACAAGAAAAGCTCTATGATGTGCGGGTGAACACTCGTAATACCACTCAGCTGTGTCCTTTAAGGCGGCGAGGTTGGAACGTCTTGTTATATAAACTTTCCCACCATGATAAAGCGACAGGGAAGGCAATGCTGTCAGAGTCCCATGCAGCTGTGACTGTCAGGACCAGCAAGGAGCCCTCAAAGCATGCCAAGCAGTGGTCACGGCCCAAGGTCCAACCCCTGACCATCATGCAATAGAACCAGCAATGAATGCTGGGGGAAAAGCCAAAGAGCCTGAGCCACTGAGACTTAAAAACTTGTTTCTGCAAACTTCTTGCATTAGAAAGAGGAAACAGAAACCACAAATCCAGAAAATATCAACAGTGGGCACAACATAGACAAAACATCAGGGGTTCACCCAACATGACAGGCAGAGGCTGGGGGCACCAGACCTCTGAGCAAAGACAGTGGAGTGGGTGTTTGAGGAAAAGAGGGGTCACGAGGCCAAGCTCAGGAGAAATGAGACCCTTACCTCTGCATCTGTCTCAAACTCGTCACGGGCTGAAATACCTAAGTGGGAAAGCACACAGTACCCCTGGCCTGTGGGCATCACGGCTCAGCATGGAACACTGCCGTGCCAGGTACGTCCCCTCACCACAGAGGGGCTGACCAGGAGCTGTGCCCAGGACAGTCAGTACCAGTCACGAAAAGGCCATGTTCAACATGGGAAGTGTGGTTTCTACTGCACCGGAGTGGCTCTGCGACCCCAGCAAGTGGAGCTGCCCGCACCGCCACCGGCTGGGCAAGGCAGATTTGCACGCAGGGAAGCACAGTGTCCCTGTGTAAGAAGACCCAGAAATCCCAAGTGGACCGATCTCCATGGGAGACCCAGCGAAGGCGCCTGCGGTGGTTTTGCAGGAGAAATGATCCCCCTGGTCCTCTGGAGACAGCTCCCTGGGACAGAGGGCTGGAGGAAAGTCCTCACACCCCTTGGGAAGGAGACCTGCTCCTGGGACTTAAACCTGCAGGAGGAAGCACTGAGCATGCTCCCTGAGGAGACAGGAAGCAGAGATGGAAGAAAGGCTTCTCCTCCATGGCCCCCCCAATTCTGGGCAAGCTTCTTGGTGTACATTAACCGGCAGCCCCAGAACAGGAAAAGTCACAGACAGGCACGAACTCCCAAGGCCTCACAAATAAAACACACTGAAAAGCGTCTCCGGGAGAAAGACAGAGCATGAAGAATTATAGTCACGCTGGGCAATGGCAGGTGGGCCCCAGGGACAGCGGGGATGGTGACCACCTGCAGGCCCCAGGGAGCAGCGCTGATATCAAGCCAGAAGCACGCACCCCTGGACGCAGGACCCACCCACAGCAAAGAGGCTTTCTGCGCATGCCACAGGACGACTTGGGGAATACGGGAGGAGACGCCAGTGAGATTCCGGACACTGGAGGAGTCACCTGCAGGCCACCGCCCCACCCTCCCAGGGCTGGGGTTCAGTGTCTTTGCCATCACGGTGGTGCCATCCTGAAGATGTAGAGACCAGGTCAGTCCCTGACAGCTCCAGGTTGGCCTATCACCCCTCTCCCGCTCATGGCTCTGGCACATGCCACTGTCCCCCTGTCATGTCAAGGTGTCCTAGGACAAGCAGCCCCTCTCTCCTCCTGCAGGCCGTTGCCACTCCTCCCCGCATGGTCATGGCCTCCTTGAGAGTAGGACAGACAGGCTGAGCATGTCCCCAGCCACTGCCCCTGGCTGTGGCATCATCCGGCACCGCTGCTGCCCTGGACACCTGTCCTGGCCACGCCTCTCCGGCAACTCCTGCCAGCCCAGGGGAAGCCTATACCCCACTGTCACCATGATGGGATTGAGATTCAGCAAAAAAAATTTTTTTTTTTTTTTTGGTACCGGGGATCAAACTCGGGTCCTTGAGCTTGCAAGGCAGGCCACCGAACCGCTGAGCTAAATCCCCAGCTCCCAGATTCAGCAAATATTAAAACACCAGAATGGCCTGTTCAACCAAATTTCAGATAAGCATTCCCTGTTTTAGCATGAGCACTCCCAAATATCGCATGAGGCACGCTTGCACAGAAACGACCTGCTGGTGTCCCTACTGTCTGCCTGGGCCTGAGTTTCTGGCAGCCTTGGCTGTGGGGCTCCATCTCCCCTCCCCACCAGCCCAGTTGCTGCCTGCACAGCCTGCACCCTGGGGGGCCCCTGCCCCTTCAGCCCATGGCAGGGGACAACCGGAGCCCTTGTTCACCCACAGTCACCTCAACCCTAACATCCAGCACAGCTTCCTATGCCCTAAGAATGCCCTCTGAATGTGCTCGGCAGCCCTGCCCAGCCAGCCAAAGCCCTTTCCCTCTGCTCTGTGGCCTCCTGTTTATTTCCTCTACCTCAGTGGCACCGACTCAACACTGTGCCTTGCTAACACGTGGACTGACTGCAGGAGCCACATTCACAGGCTCAAGGCTCTTCCACAGAACGGACAGTGTTTGTGCAGAACCCACCCCTTCCTACATGAAACCCTTTTAGTCAGTGATGGTGAACCTGTTACGGCGTTCAGCAGCAACAAATGGCCTGATGCGGCACGTGTGCCCTAGGTTCGCCAGCACTGCTGTGAATCATCTGTACACAATTTATAATACCCACACAACGCAAGCAGCACGTGAATAACTGTTGTATTGTTTAGCAATGGTGACATGAAAAAAGTTTGTACATGCTTGGTACAAATGCATTTAAAAAAAATCTTTGTGACCACGTGGCTGGTGGTGGCAGAGGCGTGGTTTACCAGGCCCACTGCCAAGGGCCTGCTGTGGGGGGCACCTTGCGCTCCAAGAGTGATCCACTGGTGCCACGTGATGGGGACAGACCACCGGGATGGTTGGCTCCTTCCCCAGCACTCTCTCCGGAGGGTCATCCAGAGGGCCAGCAGCCATCCCCTCACCAGCGCCTCTGCCTGGCAGGGAAACACAATGCGTGCACCAAGCTGGGGTGCCTGTCCCCATGCCTCTGTGTAGGCATGGTGTTCAGGCTCTGGGGCGGGAACTCTCCCCTTATCCCCTACCTGGGCAGGCATGCAGGGGACTGCCATGTAGACTCGGGCTCAGGCTTTTCTCTCCCTGAGACCAGCCTCGGAGAGTACAGGCAGTGAGGATCCTGACCCCAAAAGGGAGGCAGCCCAAGACCATGCTGGGCGCAGGCTTCATAGACTCAGCCAACTCACCAGCTGCTGACCCAGCACGCCCTGGGGTGAAGCGGGCTCTGTCCCTGTGTGCAGGGCTTGAGACCGGCCGCCTTCCTACAGCGAGCTGGGCAGTGGGTCTGGGCTGAGGAAGCCGGCTTCCCCCATCCTTGCAGGGGCTGTGTGATGGGAGGCTGGGCCATGCCCACCAGTCCTGTTGCTGGTCTCCTGGGCCCTGCTCCTACAGAGCTGCTCAGGCCCTGTGATCTGAACATGGGAAAAGGGACGTCTTTCAGATGTCGAGAGAACACTGAGACAGAGCCATCTTGGGAACATAATCAGGAGCCTGCCTTGTACTGCGCCAGCTTGGCCCTCCTCCCTGGGAGCCCTGCCAACACCCTGCACGGGAGGGTGGTGACTAGGTGTCGCTCACGACTCTGTGTGCATGTGCACATGTGTCTGGGTACTGGGAGGGAGAGCGTGTGGTAGGCAGCAGCCCAAAGGCTGCTCTGGGTGGAAAGCCAGTCACCTTCATCTCGTCTCTGCTGATAGGTAAGAAAGCCGCAGGGCCCTCTGCAAGGTCTCCCCTTTGCACCTTCCCCCACCCCATTCATCTCACAGCAGTGCCTCCTCCTCCAGAAGGGGTGCTGGGAGGCCCCCTGGGTGCCCTCCCTTGCCCTGCTGTGCACCAGCTGGGACCTGAGTAGCCCTGTGCTCGGAGACCAAGCCCCACAGGCTCTGTTGGGAGCTCAGCATGTGCAGGGGCACCATTCGCCTGTCTGTCTGTCCCCCAAGCTGTGCCTGGAGCCAAAACCTTGTCCTGGGCAGTACGGATGGAGCCTCAGGCAGGAAGGCTCTGGGCTGGAAAGGGGGACCCTGGGTGGGCACTCGGGGCTCCACTTGGGGCCCAGCATTTGCACAGCCATGCACACATGTGGCACCCACATCACACACTGCCAGATGCCAGTTTCAAGTGATCAGAAGCTACAAAGTCAGTTCGCTTTGGGTGGAAAGTCAGGAGAGACCTTTCCAGTGTGAATCTGCCTGCAGGAAAATGTCTCCCTGTGGCACTGCTCGCCAACCCATCCTCTGAGGATGAAAACGCTTCCCACAGCCTGGCGCAGACTGACACACTCACTGCCTGGCGTGCACCCGTGGATGGAGGACAAAAACCCAGGACTCTCTCCCTGCAGCCTAGCACTCAGTGATGGTAAACAAACACACGGAGTTGATTAGCAAGAGAGACGCCTCCGTCTGGGCTCCAGGATTAGAACGGCATCCAGTGTTACAGCAGCGTCACATAGACTGCATTTCCTGTGATGTCCCAGTCAGTGCCAGAGACATTTGCATTTGTACAATGTCATACATTAAATATTTAACGAGTAGCAAATGTCGCAGCACTCAAATGTTGCGTGGTCCTGCAGCATGAGAGCCGAGGATGGCACGGGTTACCGAGACCGGTGACAGAGGACGCACTACTGC